CATGCAACAAATAAACAAATTTTAAACATGACGATTTAAACGATTGATTTTAAAAGGGCTTTAAGATGTACTTGAATTTAAGATTTCTCACGAAATCCGTTTTAAAGTCAAAATTAAATGGCCTGATTGAATTGGCTAGTTTTAGAAAGGCTTTTAAAGAGTATTTGAAATAGGAGTTCAAATGCTGCTCTGTTTGAAAGATATTTTTAGAACGTTTTATCTTAACTGAAATTAAGAAAAGCTTTAAGAAATTTAGTGATTCACTTATTTGAAATTATTGTTACAAATTATGAAAGTATTCTTTCTTATATTAAAAAAAAAAAATGTTCCGCAAATTTTAAGAAACCCCAGTAAGTACAAGTTAAAAAGTTAGTAACAGTGGCGGCCTCAAAGGAGGGTCGTCACAGGAACATATTACCCAACATCACCTTTAGCTTTAGGTGAACTTTTAAGAATTAGTATTTTGTTTAGTGAATATAAGGCGGACCCAATCTTAGGAGTTCCTATCGCTTCTATGGAAAAGAAATTTAAAAAATATTGGTATAAATTGTCTTTTATTGTATAGTTTTGGTACTATTTTTGATCATAGATTAAAATTAGATAGTTTAGAAAACTTAGGTGAATTTTTAGGCATCAATTGTTCTAACCAATTTCCAACAATAAAGGCAAAAATATTTTCGATCTATAGTAAATATGAGAATAGGTTTAGAAACACAAACTCTGGAGTACAAGAACCGCAACAACAAGATGAAAACCCGCATTCATTCTTGAATGTCTTCGGGTTGAAGAAGAAGAAGAAGAAGAAGAAGAAGATGACTCAAACAGAAGCTGGGAGTGGATCTTCATCAACAGGTGGCAGCAGCGGCTTCAACGAGCTTATGGCATATCTCTGTGAGAGCTTAGTAGTCGACGGTATTAGAGAATCGTTTGACTTAGTTCAATGGTAGAGAGCACGAGCATTAACTTGGCCAATCCTAACTCATTTGGCAATGGATATTTTTTCGATCCCAGTCTCTACTGTTTCGTCTGAACAAGCCTTCAGTACGACCGAACGAATACTTGAGGAACGCCGAAATGCATTGCAAAGGGACATTATTGAAGCCTTAGTCTGCATTAAGGATTAGGATCGTGCCGATCAACGTTTATAGGATACAATTTCACTCTGCATTAAGGATTAGGATCGTGCCGATCAACGTTTATAGGATACAATTTCACCAGGCATTAAGGATTAGGATCGTGCCGATCAACGTTTATAGGATACAATTTCACCAGCAAGTCAAGAATGAATCGATGAATTTAATAGATTAACATTTAATTTTGAAGACGATCCTTCAGCTTCAAATTAAATTGTAATTTGTAAATATGTATTTACTTTCGACTTATAATTGTATATTTAGACTTTGTAAGTTTGTAAAATTTGTAATTCATCATAAAATGATTGTACTCTTTTTTCCTTACCAAGTTTTTATCCCAATTGAGTTTTTCTTAGTAAGGTTTTTAACGAGACAATCATGAATTATAAATTTAAAAATTAATATACAAAATTAATTTATTAAATTGTGTTAATAATGTGTGTTGAATGTTGATTTTAGTTTTTATATAATTTTAACACAAAATAACTTAATAATTATTTATATACAAATACAATTACTAAATAATAGTATATTATATAAAAAAAATATAATATTATAAAAATTAAAAATTATAATAAAAAAAATATTTTTTTCGGGCCATTTGGGCGGGTTCGGGCTCCCCGCCCGGGCTTAGGTAGCCAAAACCAGGCCCGCGGCCCGTCCACGGACTTTCTCGGGCTAAGGCGGGCGGCCTGAAAAATTAGGGCTGGTCAAGTTCAAAATTGATTTTTTTGGGCGGTCGTGAGCCTCCCGTCCAAAGTTTCAGCACTAATCATAATTCGTAAACAAAAGAAACTCCATAAGAAGACATGTTCGTGACATGAAACGAGAGATAACAATGAACCGACTTGTCGTTTAAAAAGATTTACTTCCGAGCGAGACCGACAACAATTAACCGAAGAAGCAGGTGCCATGTCATAACCGAACGGAAGCAATCAGTTAACCGAACCGAGTCTAGCTTCTCGATTTGGTGCTCAGTTTCAGGGTTTTGAATTCAGTCGGTTAACCGAACCAAATATACAAATTAATTAAAAAATATATTTTAAAATATAATACTTCCAAGTCCAAAACGACAAGTCAATTAAACAATAGTACTAGGTCTAGGGTTCTCTCTGACTCTTCCATTTCCTTTCTACCCTTTCCCCCATTCGAAAGGAACCAAGAAAAAGCTCCTTCACCCATCTGCTCATTGTCCTTCGCCCCTCTTTCACGCATTGCCGTCCGCCTTCTCTGCTGATCCTCCTCGTCCTATTCTCCATCGCCCCGGCCTTCTCTATTCTTTGTCATCTGCTCGTCGTCCTATGAAGTCTGCCCCTTCGTTGGCTCGTCTTCTTCTCTGCCCCGTCACTCCTCGCCTCCTCCTAGTCCTCTTCTCTGCCTCGCCGGCTGCCGAGGTCCTCTCCTCTCTACCGATTTACTCATCTCACAGCCAGGTATTCAAAATTAGGTTTGCTTTTGATATATGAGTCTCAAAATCAGGTTCTTTAGACAGAGAGAAACTGTCAGTTAACCGCCAAAACCAAACCGACCTGACCGAATATTGTGATCCGGTTGATGTTCGGTTTTATACCCCGTTGGACTGTTTTGGTTCCAGTTATCCGCAAAACCGAAAATTCAGTTCGGTCACTGAACCGAAAAAAACTTACCGTTGTACAACCTATCCTGCATAATAGACAGGATTCCAGGTATTATATTATATGATACAATTTTTCATCCATTTTATTTTCTTGATTCTTAGACTCTGAGTAAGAGGTTTTATACAAACAACTAACCGGAAACCAACTTTATCTAAAATAACAAATGAGAAACCATGCGGTGAAGCTTTAGTGGAAAGAAACTCGTAATCGTATATATCATTAACCCATTAGTGGGGAAAGCGCTGAACAATTCTAGAGTTCTTCTCTAACAATTAGCAGAAGTAATCCATCATTCATATTACATAGATTAATTAAAAACCCACAATTCTTTTTTGGGGGTTTATTGGAAAGAAAACTCGTATAAACACTTCGGTAATTGACGGTGGATAGGTAACTAATACTAAGTACCCAGCTTGTCTACCTATATTAATCATGTGACTCTATCCGATCCCCAGTCTTTGCTGGTGTTGCATCCTCTTTTTTTTTTACGTCCTCTTTTTTCTCTTTCTTAGGTGGTTTTACCTCCTTTATTTTCTGTGTGCTTAGCCATCTTTCTCGGTTCTCTGGTCCCCTGTACAAGCATAATTAAAAAATGTCATGGCGTTGGAATGTCGTCTTCTTTATTCGGAACAAAAATCTTTAATTAGATTCAGTACAGGAAACTTCTTCAAAAAAAGCCACACCAAGTGGAGAGTATTTTATTGCTACCAGATATTTACTTTAAAGATCGAAATATTCTGCAGAAGTTAATTATTATTAATTAAGTATACACAGAAACAAACACATATCATAAGGCCAAACTAGTTTAGTCAACCAAGCATCACGCGAAGTTGGAGCTAATTATGGAATTCCTCCAGACAAATGTCAACAGGGCTTTTATTTTTCCTATATTTTTACTCTCTTTTTTTTTTTTTTAAATCACTACCTCATAATGGCCATGCTAAATATTTTCAACCTTTCATTTCACCATTCACATGGTCAAAATAGATCATAGTCTCCCAAAAAAAAAAAAAAAAAAAAAAAACAAAACCAAACAAACAAAGGATTATACTTCTTCATAGTCAGCCATTCATTAAGCGTTCCGCCGTCTAGCGTTGTTTGTAGTACAACAAAGGAATCAGATAAGCTCAGATAGATTAGTTTTTTTTTTTTTTTTTTTTTTTTTTTTTTTTTTCGGGCAATGAGAAAATTACCTTTAAAGTGTATAGGGGGTCTGAATTTTTACCTTACTTGATTAATATTCATTTTAATAAAATAACTATATTATATTAGTTAAAAGAGGTGAAATTCAGATCACGCACTCTAAAGTGAATTCGGCTATTTTTTTTTCCCGTATAACTTATAACGGCTCAGATTCACAGCACCTGAAAAAGCCCATCGTCAAGTGCTCCAAATGAGGTTAAAAAAAAAATCTAATATTGCATCTGTGAGAGATTTTTAAAAAGTATTTTTAAAAAGTACTAACCCCCCACCCCAAAAAAAAAAAAAGGGTAACAAATCAAAGTAAATTGAGAGCATGGGAAAGATATTATAAGGAAAGAATCAACTTTAAGCTAGCATATATAAACTTGAAATCGAGCAAAAGCACTGATCTAATAATCAGCTCTTGTTTGAATCACTAACCGCAGATTTAACAGGGAGAGGATCAAGAGTGATGGAGAAAAGAGAAATCTTTGCAATCTCCAAGAAAGCAGCGTCTCTAAGCCCAGGAACATCACTGACCAAATCCTCGTAAGCAGCCTCAAATGCCTCCTGCCAAAATCGAGGCACCACTCTACCGTTTCTGCTCTGCGTGTACACATCCCACATGAGCCTCACGACCTTCTCTCTCTCCTCCACTTCCTACACAAATTTCCATGTTAATTTAAAAAACAAAAAAACAAAAGAGAGAGAGAGAGATTTTTTTTTGACGAACCAGAATGTCAAGATCGTCGTAATTGGGAGAACTGAAGTCGTCGGAGAATCTCGAGAGGTTACCGGCGGACCATTTAAGAGTGACGGAGCCGGTGAACATGGACCAGAAAGCTAAGAGAAGAACCGCGAACAAGACCCAGAACTTGTACGAAAAACTCTTACCCGGTAACCCAGCGGATCGAGAGCTCTCTTTCCTTACCAGTACCGGTAGATCGTTTTCCTTCATTGCTAGAGGTGACTCTGATTTTCTGAATTCCGTGTCTTAGAAGATAATGAGAAGAGAGAAGAGAGACGGTGACAGAGCAGGAGGGGGAGAGAGAATTGAATTTGCGTTCGTCGGTTAGTGAATGTACAGTACAGTGTGAGTGGGTTGGTGGGGCTTCATGAATGTTACATTTTTCAGAGCTTCTTAATGAAGGTCAGATGATGGTGGGCTCTTAACAATTTTCCAATCTCATAATCGATAGTCCACTAACAGTTTTTTGGCTTTCTCTGGGGTCCTTTTTCTCCGCGGGATTCAACGACTCGTTTTGACCTTAAGTGCGTATAATACGATTATTACCCGGTATTATTATACATTATACGTACTACTAAAGGAGGCACCGGGTTACTGTTCTAAGAACAGTGTCCGGTCATTCTTCTCCTTCTTCTTTGAAAAAATTCCGGTTGTGTCCTAAATTTATGTTTTTACCATTTTATCCTTGATTGCTTATTTCTGCTTTGGTTTTTGTTTGGGTATTTTTGTCTTTTTCAACAAATTTCGTCTGTGTCCTTTGAAACATGTTTATCTCTATTTCTGATGTTCTCTCTTCTACAAACACGTGTCTCACCTTTTCTCCTCTACGAATTACCAGTTTTTTCTTTATTTTTGTTTTCTCTGTTGCGTTGATTTTTCCTGTTTTGGGTTGGTGATTTTGATGGTGGGTTCGATGGAAGTTTCTGCTGTTCGCCTTCTTTCTTCCTTTGCTATTTTCGATTTACTGTTTTTGATTAGGGCTTTTATTCATGTTGAGGGTTTTTTTTTATTTTTTTATTTTTTATAGGGTTGTGGGTTTTTTCTTTTATTCGTTGATGCTGATTTTGCGCTACTTTGATTTAGGGTTTTCAGTATTTTTTTTTTCTCTGTTGTATTCTTTGCGAAGATGATGTTTTGGATTTCGTATATTTTGTTTCCTATATTTGTTTGAGGGTTTCACAAAACAATTATTTTTGCTGTATTGGTTAATCTGTTGAGTTTTTTTTTTATTTTTTTATTTTTTTATTTTTTTATAAAAACAATTGTTGATAAATGCTAAATTTTCTATGTGGGCTTAATTTTTTTCATGAGCTCATTTGTTTTTGTGCGAATGAATCTATATGTGTATATTATTATCTTTATGGTGGCTGATCTCTATAGGTTAATGCCGGATTTTTCTGGGTATTAATAATCTTTGTTATGTTGGTTAATCTGTTGGGTTTCTTTTTCCTCAGTGAAAGTAATTGTTGATAAATGCTAAATTTTCTTTGCGGGCTTAATCTTTTTCATAGCCTTATTTTCTTTTGTACGAATGAATCTATATGTATATATTTGCATCTTTTTGGTGGCCGATTTCGATAGGTTAATGCCGGATTTTCTCCTATCTGATTCACAGAGGTAATCTTTCGATCCTTTCCCTTTGTTGTCTAAGTTTTGTCCAGATAAGTTTCTGTGGCATTTATTGATATGATGATGTGTAATGGTGATCTGTAATCTGCACCTACTTTATTCGTGCTATTCCTTTAATGGTTTATATCATCTTTCTTCTAGAAGCATTGAATGCAATTGTAATATATTTGCTCTTTTGCTGAATAAAAAATGCGCAGAAAATTAGGAAAGAAAAGAAAAAGGCCCTCTAAATTTTTTTGCCCTCCTTTTCTAATTTCTTAGTTTATTTCTCTACTCATTATTTTTCAGATTTTTCTCTGTTTTTTTTTTTTTTTTTGCTTTTTCTTCAATTGTCTATTTCTATTTTGCTTTTATTCTTTCATTTAAAAAAAAAAAACTCCCCCAGTTTCTTGCCGCCGCCTATGAAGTAGTAGCTGTAATTTTGTTATTGGTTGCTTACTGTTTAAGTTTGACTCTTTCATCTTCATATATATATATATATAAATATATCTAATACTGTATTATTTTTGGCTCATTACTGCATATCAGGCCTTTCCTTTTCTACTCCATCGTTAATCAATTAATGCTTCATATTATCTTGGTCTACTTATTGCTCTATTGCTTTCGAGCTATCCCTTTTGCTTGTGTGTTGTTGGTTGATATTGCTTGCATAAGATAGTAGTGATGATATTCCACGTATGATTAATATTCTTTGTACATATGTTTTTAATATGTATTTATGATCCTCAATATATTGATATGTTTGGATATAGTTATTTTTCTTACTTCTAATGGTATTTGAAACTTTCCATTTGTCATTGTAAATAAATGTTAAAAATTTATGTTGTTTTCTTCTGATTTTATTACTGATATACATATATAGACATAACTATTACTTCTTGAGTTCCAATAGTATATACTATTCATATATTTATATATATTTATTGCTTATCTATTTTATTGTTGTGTGTATATATATATATTAATATTTTTATTTAACATATGTTGTTTGCCTTTGATTTTCATAAATGGCAATAATGATTATAATAGGTTTTCATGTGTTTGAATTTATGTCATCTTTTCAGAAACTTGCTTTGAATATGTTTTGCTGATTTAGATTCTCATCTTCTTTATAGTTTTTGATTAGTATGATATGAATATGTTCTGTTTTTTCCTTTTTGTTTTTTTAAAAAAGGGGTTGACTTACCCAAATAATTTTCCTTTTTTGGCTGTTGTGGTTCAGCTTAGTCCATTTACTGGTCAACTTTCTAAGCTCCCTGTCTTTCAACTTTGTTTGCTTGGCTGGTATTTTGTCCTTAAAGCATAATCTATGGCATTGCAGGTATTATCCGTAACTCTTATCATAATCTTTTAAATTTTTTTGTTTGTAATAGATGTATTGGTTTGTTATGGTGCTATTGCTTTACTTTATCTGTTATATTGTTCTTGAGGATCTAGCCTTATTGTTATGACTGTTTCTGTGTATGTTCTATCACTATTTACTACTGGTTTTAATCGTTCCATAGTAGCATTTATTCATATTTGTGTCTTTATTTAAGATATTTCATCTTTATCATATTTTGATATGATATCATGATGAATAACGTTGTTTTGTAGCTGTGGAGTGTTATAAAATCCGTTTAAAATTGTTGTCGACAACTTTTTATCATTTGGATTGAGGCATTGTCCATTTGTTCTCACTAAAACTATTTAAATGATGGTTTTTGCCCCCTTTTTTTTTATCTATCTTAATTTAAAGGAAACAAATATTCCATTTTTTGGGTATGTCTTAATTTAAAGGAAACATTTATCTCTGTTTATTTAGTTGTTTGGCCACATTTTCCTAACACTTTTTTGAACTTTATCTTGATTTGTATTTACTATGCCTTATGGTTAGTTGATTCTGTCGCATGCCAATGATGGTTATAACTGATTTTCATCTGTTTGATGATGCATAATTATTTTGAAAATTATTCTGCCTATATTTTGTTTACTTGGATTCCGATATTGTCTATAGTTCTTGATTAGGATAATTTATATATCTTATTTTACTCTCTCTTTCATCTTATTCTAATGCTATTATTGTTTTCATTGGCTCATTTCATATTGGTTTTGATATGTCGCTATTATATTGGTTTCTAGCTACGTAATTCCTTTTGAAATTGATATGGATATGGTTTGTACCTCTCAATTCCAGTATTATATATAGTTTTTGACTGAAACTATATCTATTCCTTTGCTTTTTTCCGCTTTTAATTTTGTACTGATTCCTCTAATTTTTTGCTTGCCTTATTTCATGCCAATCTATTGACTACCCTCCTCTTAAGATCTGTTTCTTTGACCTTCCTTTGGTCAGTTGATCGCGGATTTAAGGAAACATTCATAATGTCGCAGGTACTGTTACTAATTTATTCCCGTGATTTTATCATTGATAATGACTATTGATCTGTTGTAGTGCTATTATTTTGTGCTATTTGTTAAAACAGTATTTTTTTCTTATCTTTATCAATGTCTTCTCCCATACTTTGTTAGGACATACTAATTCTGTTTATTTCATTCATAATCACATCTATATCTATATATTTTTATTTTACATATCCTATTTTTCATTTTGTTTAGGTATGTGGCAATGATGATTACATTTAATTTTGACCTGTTGAGTTTGATATAACCTGTCCAGAAATTATTGCGAATAATTCTTTTTTATTTGCACCCTGATTCTATCTATCACTGTTTACCAAAACAATCTTGGTATCACTTTCGTTTTTTCCTAATCTTTTGAAACTGAAACTAACAAGATTTTGAATACTTACTTAATTTAAACTCAGGCTTCATTTTACTGCTTTCAACATCTATCTCTATTTCATTCATCTCATCATCTTTAGCATTTCATAGTCAATATGGGAAAAACCTCATTGCTATCACATATCTTTAGTTTCTCTACCTCTTTAAGTTTAATCTTCATAAGAACTTTCGTTCCTATCTTTCTTCCATTATTTCAAATCTTAGAATTTGTCTAAGCTTATTCCACCACAACATTTCATAGTCAATATAGGAATAACCTCATTGCTATCACATATCTTTAGTTTCGCTACCTCTTTAAGTTTAATCTTCATAAGAACTTTTGTTCCTATCTTTCTTCCATTATTTCAAATCTTAGAATTTGTCTAAGCTTATTCCACCACCTTCTTCTACACTTTCGCTTGCTTCGGTGGTTTTTTTTCCTTTTGTTTCTTGCTTTTAGCATTATAAAATAATAAAAAATGTTTTTGTTATTTGGTTTGATTGAACTTTTTTTTCCGCTCCTTTTGCACCGACATAGAACTATTATATATGATATTTTCATTAGTTATTTTGTTTTCTATATATATATATGTATATAGATCCGTTACTGTCTATTAACCGGTTGTGTAAATTGTCTCCTCTGTTTTCTTTTACACCTGACATTTCTCTTTTGCCACTCCATATTTGATCATTTACTGCTGTCTTTGACCTTTCCCTATTTACTGCTTCATCGTTTTACCCTTGCATCTTTCACTTTTGTTTGACTAGCTGACATTCCTTATTTAAGGCAGTGCTTCCAGTGTCTCAGGTACTATTAATGATCTTTGATCATACGTTTTTAATATCTGTTGTTGATGTTGTGTGTATTAATTTGTTATACTGCCATTGCTTTGTGTTGTTTCCTATAGTAGTGACAACAATTCTTTCCTTTTCATTGTCAACATTTTTGTCATTGCGCCTCATTTTGGGTGTTTTGGTCAACTTCATCCATGCAAAGCCCTGTGCTTTATCTCTTTTCTTCGGTGGCTTTGTTTTGGCTGCCGCCTCCACTTTTTCCCTCCGTTCAAAGCTTGCCCTGGATTTGTTGCTTCTTCATTCTTCTCATTTCTTATTTGATCTTGGTTTTTTGGATACTTTCGGTGGAGGCCTTTTTTGCTCGCGTTTGCTCATTCTTTGTTGTTTCGATTAGGGATTTTGCTCGGGATTTTTATGCCCTTTTCACCTGCTATGGTGGTTTTCTATTATCATTTTTTGCTGTTTTTTTTTGGACAGATTTATATACTTTACTTCAACCCTTTAGTTTGTGTCACACATGTCATAATCTGCATGGCAAATATAATATCTGACTAATTTTTAGGCCTTTATGTAGTTGCTGCTGATAGGCAGCCATAAATGGCCATAAAAGTACAAGTCAGTTGATTTACCATGCACTTGCTGACAACAGTTAATATCTGAGCCACAATTACTCTGTAAAAGCATTATTAGATTCATAATTTATCAACTTCCTCCCATTGAATCTTTCTTATTACTTATTTGTTCACTTATATCTCACCATTAGTTTGTGTTTGAACCTTCCTCTTTATGAAATTAACATAATCAGCTTTTATTATAAGAAATTTTTTGTCTACTTGTTTATAAATGGACAAGATAGTTAAAGATGTGCGAATACAAGCATAAATTGGTCGCTTTATCTATTATTTATTCATAGGTTTAATTCATGTACTACTTCTACCTTATTGATTTGCTCTGTACATAATGATATTTAATATTGTAAATTATGAATTAAATATGTGGTTATTGTAAATATTTTTATATTACTTACAATAAATTATAGACACAAATATCGAATTTTGTACATCTCTTATGGCAATTATTGATGTAATTATTTATTGTTCGTTTTAATTAGGGCTGACAATTTGTGTTCGCGGGCCGTGTTCGGGCCGACACGATTACGGCACGACACGATTACAGTGAGCACGAACACGACACGATTAATAAACGTGTTAGAAATCCACACACGAACACGAACCGTTAATAACACGATTAACACGACACGACACGCGAATGAACACGACACGATTAATAAACGTGTTAGAAATCCACACACGAACACGAACCGTTAATAACACGATTAACACGACACGCGAATACGATTATTAAACGTGCCGTGACGGGCCAACACGAATAAAACACGTTTATGACCGTTAAAATAATATTGTTCAAGAAATTTTAAAACAGCACAATTGGTAGGGAAAAAAATGATGAAATTGAAAATAATGTTTCATGAAAATATATTTAAATGTAAGTTCCATTATCATCACCTTCTTTTACATCTCTCAAGTGATACCAATACAAAATGTATGCAAGTAACACAAATCTTAACCCTAAGTCCAACTACAAGAATTCACTTGCATTACTACTTGCACAAACTGTTCCATTATCATCACCTTCTTTTACATCTCCCAAGTGAGACCAATACAAAATGTATGTAAGTAACATAAATCTTAACCCCAACTACAAGAAGTCAGTTGCATTACTACTTGCACAAACTGTTCCATAGACAACTATTATAATCGCTTAAATAAAGACATTTTCCCATCATCCATTCAACGAAGAAAATTACAAATAAGTCAATAACAATCAAAATCAGAATTTTTCGAAAAGAAAATGACTTTCTGGGCGACCAAACACAAGGTAAAAAAAAGCGCATACCTTGAGCAATCCCAAGACCTTGGAGACCTCCTCGCCGATCAATCTCTTCTTTCAGTTGCTTTAACCTATTCATGAAAAAAGAAAACATTTTATTAATGAAATGAAATTTATAGCTTAGGCATGCCACAAGGAAATTCTTGTTACCTTCCATTGCATTTGAGGTGTTGAGGTTGTGAGAATTTTGAGATGAACCAGTAGTGGGCTCATTGATATCCGAACTAAAAACATCTTCAGTATCATCCATAGCTTCACGAATCGATTTGTTATTTTTTACACAAAATAGATAACTTATATGGTTAGACTTAAGATAACATAAGCTAAGACAGTAAATAATAAAAAAAAAAAAACAAATATACCTTTATCTCCAAATAGCCAATCCTTAGTACACACCAATGCCTCAACTACTGCAAGTTTAAGTGAACTCCTATATTGATTCAATACTCGTCCTCCAACACTAAAGGCAGATTCAGATGCTACAGTAGATATTGGGATACTTAGGATATCACGAGCTATGTAAGAAAGCTCCGGATAACGAAACTGATTTCCTTTCCAAAATTCAGGAACATCCAACTTAACACTCCCTTATACTTTTGGCTCATCCAAATAATCCAAATAAACTTCTAACTCTGATTTCTGCATAACAGTTTGCTCTTGGCTTTCAAAGTTGTTGAACTCCTATAACCACAAAGATATAAAACAAGATGAAAAAGACAAATAAAGAACAATTAGTATTCATCAATGAATGTTAAATTAACAAAATCAACACATAAATATTCATAAACATAGTTACCTTCAATACTTTGGTTTGCCTCTGTAAAAAGTTTAGCAATAGGAGTAGGAAGTGAAGTCACAACATTTATTGTAGAAACATTGCCCTTAGAGTATTCAGTAAACAACAACTTCAAATTTCTCTTAACTTCTAAAAATTGAGGTGACCCTTTCATTCCATAAACATTGCCATAAGCATAATCTACAAAATTCAACTTGTAACGAGGATCAAGCACTATCGCAATTGCCAATATCAAACTGAAATCTTTCCAATACTTCTCAAACTTGGTAAGCATTGCTTTTGCCATAGCAGACAAATATGCATCTTCACTTGTCTCAGATTTCTTCAATGACAAATAACTTGTGTACACAGTTGGAAAGTACAAGTTTGCAGTGGGGTATTTAGCTCCCGAAAAAACACAAGTGATATTATAAAAGGGTTCCAAAAATTCACAAATTTTCTCGGCCTTTTCCCAATCATATGGATTAGGACAGTCCTTGTAATTAGAACCACTCAATTCTAAATGACAAAATGCTCGTCGATAATACAAGACATTGTCAAGCATGAGGAATGTTGAGTTCCATCTTGTAGGTACATCTTGCCTCAAACCTCTCTTAGAATCAAGACCCATAAGATTTACACACTCTAAAAACTTCTTCTTTCTAATTTGGGACCCTCTTACATATTTCACACTCTCACGAATCTTTTTAACCACTGAATCAATATCTTTCAACCGTTCTTGCATTACAAGGTTCAAAACATGTGCACAACAACGAATATGAAAAAAAGAACCATCATAAATAAGTGCATTGTTTTCAATCAACTGATTCTTCAACAGATCAACAAACACATCATTAGCAGATGCATTGTCCAAAGTAAGAGTGAAAACCTTGTATTCAATTCCCCACTCACACAATAATGCATAAAGCTTTTCAGACAATGCAATACCAGTATGTCGTGATGGCATGAAGCAAAAATTTAAAATCCTCTTTTGCAATACCCAATCTTTATCAATAAAATGGGCAGTTAATGACAAATATCCATCTGCAACTATGGAAGTCCACAAATCAGATGTCAAACAAATTCTACCGGGGCTCAACTCCAACATAGATTTTATTCTTGCTTTTTCCCGAGAATACATTTTTTGGACATCTGCTTTTAAAGTATTTCTAGTTACCAAAGTTATCTCAGGATGCAAATATTGGTAAGTCGCCCTAATAGCTTCATATTCAACAAAGGAGAATGGAAGGTCATGCAAAATGATTGCTGTTGTTATCAATTCACGAAAGTGTTCAGCATCAAACCTTTTTGTACTCAACGCTAAAGACCCTTTGTCTTGTGACATCAATAGTTGGCCCACGTCACGCGTGTCTCTACGTACACATAATTGCATGTGACGTCGCATCCTTCCAGTCCCATTCTTGCTATTAGCCATATACACCACACCACACTTCTTGCATTTGGCTTTTAGCTCATGATCTGCACCCATTGGAAGCCTTTCAAACTGGTTCCAGACAACAGAAGTATGCTTCCTTACGTTTAGAAATAGTGGTCGGATTCTTGGAATTAGCTTCAGGCTCAACATCCGCCTCTAATGCAATAGGTGCATCACCAGTAGCAGCAGCGGATGCGGTAAAGCTGTCTGACTCTACATTTACTCCAACACCATCTTGCAAATCATCCATCTACAAATCATATCAAATGCACAGGAGAAAAGAAAAAAGTTTGAAGTAAAAGGGAAAAAAAAACAAACAGAAAGAAAGAAAAAGTTCTTGCCGTTCACTTCTCCTCAGCAAATAAGTTTGTTTTCCCCTTTCATTTATGGAAACCATTTTATGGAAACATGTCCAAAGAGACAATGTCAAACAGATTCACAATCCTTCATGTGTCAATTACTTTAAAAAGAAAAGAAGAAAGACAACCACTAGTAAATTAGGCTTAGGCTTTAAAAAAGCTAACCTGTTCTTGTTTTTTTTTTTTTTCCCCCTCTCACTCTTTTTTTTCCTCTTCACATTTTCAAGGATAAAGACTTTCACTTGGAAAGTGATAGCCCATGCCTAAAGATATTCATAGTCAGCACCACTGTCATTATGCAAAGGAAAAAAAAAAGGTAGTGGCCAAGGCGCCAAGCCAAGCCAACACTACATTCCAAGACACCTACCAAATCTTCTGGGTTTGTCCTTGCTGGTGGGACAAGCAAATTATTTCATATATGATGAATTAGGGTAAATTTACATTTTTACAAGAAAGGAAATACGTAAAATATCATATTGCAATGAATTACGCTTAAAAAATAAAAAAAACAACTCAAGAAGTAATTATTCCTAAGCAGGCAATTCATCAATGAAAGGGACACCTATGCAGTCAAATTATTCCTTATCATATCAATGAGTCAAATTATTTGCAACACCATGTGTAATGTGTCTCACACCTATGCAGGCAATTCATGTGGGGTTTGAATCTTTGATGCACACCAACCAAATCAAGATTTTAAGAAATTCCGTGGGTTTGAATCTTTCAAATAAGTTCGTTTTCCCCTTTCATTTATGGACTAACAATAAATACCAAATTACTACTCATAAATTTCCATCATATATCAATGAAGCTTTCCCCTTTCAATGGTTGGATTCTCCGGAATAACAAAAAAGTCAAACATGAAAAGATCATATGAATGAAGTGGAGAACATACCGGGAGAAATCTAGAGTTTGCAACCACTTCCGGTGTTGGAGACTCTGAGAACAAATCGAGCAAACCAGCCAAGTCTAACTACAAAGTCAAGAACAACTTTCAAAACAAAATTGAGAGTGAAAACCAGCCAAGTCTAACTACAGTCGAAGAATCAAAAAAAAAAAAAAGAGAAAATGAAAACTCCTGAGAGCTTTACCTGAAACGGAATCCAAATGGTCGTTCGCCCCCCAAAATCAATCTCAATGGTGAAAGGCTGAACTTGAAATGGCGCGGGTGAGGACTGAGGACTGAGGCGGTGGCCGGTGAGGACTGAGGCGGTGAGGACTAAAGCGGGTGAGGACTGAGGACTGAGGCAGGTGAGGCCGGCGGGTGAGACTTGAGAGACCGTGAGGCGTGAAATGAGACTCGAGAGAATGAGAGAGAGAACTGAGGCAGGGAGTCAGGTCAGGGACGGCCGCACGGGAAGGGGTTAGACACTTAGAGTCTTAGACTTAGGGTTTTCCGGTTTTGTCTTAAAAATATATATATTTGGGCATATTAAACCGGCCGGTCCGGGTCGTTCCGTGTTGGCCCGATAATGGCACGTTTAATTAAACGGGTTAAACGTGTTAAACGAATCCAGTCCATTTATTTTTGTGTTATTTGTGCCAGCCCGTTAACGACCCAATTAATAATCATGCGGTCCAAACCCATTTATCTCGTGTCGTTTTCGTGTCGTTTCATCGTGTTGTGTCTGAAATTGCCAGCCCTAGTTTTAATATGTTCTAAATATATATTCCACTAATGACAAAATGTCATTTAAATGCAGTTAATTTAAGTTGTTGTTTTATTTATGACAAAAATTATCAACTTTTACTATAACACAAAATTATCTTTCACTACAGTGCGCAAATGCGCGCGTAAAATGCTAGTACCTATTACTAAAGGAGGCACCCAGTTACTGTTCTAAGAACAGTGCCAGGTCCTTATCCCTCTTCTTTGAAAAAATTTCAAATGTGTCCTAATTTTGTGTTTTTACCGTTTTACATCGTGTTGTGTCTGAAATTGCCAGCCCTAGTTTTAATATGTTCTAAATATATATTCCAATAATGACAAAATGTCATTTAAATGCAGTTAATTTAAGTTGTTGTTTTATTTATGACAAAAATTATCAACTTTTACTATAACACAAAATTATCTTTCACTACAGTGCGCAAATGCGCGCGTAAAATGCTAGTACCTATTACTAAAGGAGGCACCCAGTTACTGTTCTAAGAACAGTGCCAGGTCCTTATCCCTCTTCTTTGAAAAAATTTCAAATGTGTCCTAATTTTGTGTTTTTACCGTTTTAGCCTCGGTTGCTTATATCTGTTTTGTTTTTTGTTTGGGTATTTTCGTAATTTTCTTATTTGGAAAAATTTCGTATGTGTCCTTAAACTGTGTATTTACTGTTTTATCCTTGATTGTTTGTTTTTGTTTTGTTTTTTGTTTGGATATTTTCGTAATTTGATTTCAGAATAGTATTTTGCTATTCTTCGAAGCTTCCAGCTTCATTTCTTCTGCAAAATTTTTTGGGTTTCTTTTATTCTCTCTCTCATCCTTTCCGTGAAGTTTTCTTCCATATCTTTCTCTGCAGATCTTCAGAGTTTTAAGCTCCTTTTATTCTGAATATGCTTTTCGTCTTTGTTTTCTCTCCATTTTTTCTCTGTATTTTCGTTTGGGTATCTTATGTTTTGCATTTGTGCATGCCTCTGATTATTTATTTTCGTGAAGTTTCTACCTTCATTTCTTCTGTGGAAATATGTTTTGCATTTGTGCATGCCTCTAGTTATTTATTTTCGTGAAGTTTCTACCTTCATTTCTTCAGTGGATTTTTTTTTTCATTTTCTTCTCTATTTCTTCCTTTTCAAAAAATTCCTTGGTTTAATTTATTTTTTGCATTTGTATTCTCTGTTTCTTTTATCTTTCTGCAACTATTTTCTCTTAGTGTTTTTATTTTGGTTTTTTTATGTTTTTTTTATTTGTTTTTTTCTTGCTTTTTTTTTTTCAGATCTGTTCGTGTTTTTATAAATTTAGCTTTTTTTTCCTTCTATTTTTTTGTTTCTCCAGATCTGTTACTGAGGTTTATGGGATTAGATATCTGCATTTGGTTTTGTAGTTTTATTTTTCGTTTATATTTCCTTAGATTTGACTTCGTTTTTTTCCTTTTTTTTTCCCAGATCTCTTAGTGTTTTTTTTTTCATTATTTTTTTTATACATTTTCCCCCCTTTTTTCATAAAATTTTTCCCCTTTTTCTAGATCTGTTAATGTTTTTATAGATTTGGCTTAGTTTTTCTTTCTATTTTGTATTCGGGGGTTTTGTGCCCGTTTTTTCATATATGTTAGTGACGTTTTTGGGATGTTACCGCATTTGGTTATTTTTGTGAAGTTTTTTTTCACTTTTTTTCCCTTTTTGTAAGGCTTCTGGGATTCATGTTTTATGTTTGTTTTATTTTGTAGTTTTGTTTTCCATTTTAATTTCCTTAGATTTGCCCTAGTTTTTTTCCTGTTTTTCATTTTTTCAGATCTGTTAGTGTTTTTGAAATTTTTTAATGTTATTTTTTTCCATATCTGTCAGTGTTTTTATAGATTCAGTTTCATTTTTTGTTATAATTTTTTAAAGTTTGATTTTTTTAATATTTCCAGATTTATTAGTATTTGTATTTCCAGATGTATTATTTGTTATTGTTATCTGTTAATTATTTTCTTTTTTTTTAATTCAGTTTTTTTTTACTAATTATTAACTTTTTTTCGCAGGTTATATTAGTCGGGAATATTTAGACATTTGTTTTTAGTGCAGAGTAATATTTTCTAACGAAATACTTTGTTTTGACTGTCTACAGGTTATTCGTTCTGTTTCACGGTACTTATCATGCAGCGTAACACCTGTTTTTAACAAATTATTACGTTTTGTTTGCAGCCTAATAGCGCTAGTATTAAGTTTTGTTTGCAGTATTTACTACCGCCATATGCTCAAACGTTTATTTTCTTCGTATAAATATATTATTTTCTCTTTCATGCTTATAGTCATTTGCTTTACTTCTACTTTCGTTGTCATATACTTATCGTCTATCTTATCTGTTTCCTTCCTTTTCTTCAATTTTCATTAGAGAGTTTTTTTCACTTCTGTTATCTCTGTTTTCAATGTTTTTAGTTCTTCTGCATCAACTCTATCCACTTTCGTTATTGCTCTAAGGTACTTATTTCTTACCTTTTCCACCTCATTTCCATATACTTATCGTTTATCTTTTCTGTTTCCTTACTTTTCTTCAATTTTAATTAGAGAGTTCTTTTTGTTATCTCTGTTTTGAAGTGTTTTTACTTCATCTGCATCAACTCTATCCACTTTCGTTGTTGCTGTAAGGTATTTATTTCTTACCTCTTCTACCTCATTTCTAAATCTTTATTCTCAATTAAAAATCAATTGGTCCCTGGTAGTGATGATGTTTTTCGTCTTTATTGTTGCCATGTATTGAGTAATTGTTAATAGTGATTTTGCAAGTATTAATGTTGCCCGGATTATTGAAGATTTATCCTTATATCATTTCGTTTAAGGTGTTTATGTTTTTCAAAAAATAACAAATCTTTTTACTTTTTATTTGCAAATATTTCATTTCTCTTATTCTATTCTGAACCATTTCATCCTTTAATTGATTTTTTTTGTAAGGTTTTTATTCACTATTACAGTTATTAAATTTTTTTCTTCTGTTATTTGGTGCAAGTCTTTCAATAATTCAGCTGGTAGCCAATGATAATGTTGAATCATAATTCAGTTACTTTTGATACATGTTGGTAGCAAAAAAAAAAAAAAAAAAAAAACTGTCTGAGAATTGTTGCCATGTATTAAGTAATTGTTAATAGTGATTTACTAATTTTTGATGTTGCTCGGATTATTGAAGATTTATCCTTATATTATTTGGTTTAAGGTGTTTATGTTTTTTTAACAATAACCAATCTTTTTACTTCTTAGTCGCATGAATTTTATTTTTTTCATTCCACTTTGAACCATTTCATCCTTTAACCGAATTTTTTCCTAAGGTTTTTGTTCATTATATTTACTCTGGTGTTTGTTATTTGGTAGGAAGTTATAATCATTTAACTTTGATTTAACTTCCGAAGTTTCTTATTTTCTATTTTTTTCCTTTTGTCCTTCGTTTTTTATTATTTCGTTGTTATTTGATTCAATGTATTCATTTTTCCTGTCCAAGTAAAATTTAAGTTTTCTTTTTGGTTTTTTAAATTTTTTAAAATTGGTTACACTTTTTTTTTCTCTTTAGTTTCTTAAATTTTTACTTAGTTTTTTTTTTTTTTTTGCTTTTCTTTTTGTTCATTTACAATTATTATAAATTTTTTCTCTGTTATTTAATATAACTATTTCAATAATTCAGCTGGCAGCCAATGACAAAGTTAAATTATATTTCAGTTACTTTTGATACATGTTGGTAGCAAAAAAAAGATGAATACCTGAACCATTCCTTTTATATGTTTTGATGTCTTTGTCTTTTTACTTCTTACTTGTAGATGTTTTTTTTTTCTTATTCCACTTTGAACCATTTCATTCTTTAACAGATTTTCTTTCTAAGGTTTTCGTTCAGTATTATAGTTATTACTACTTTTTTCTCTGTTATTTAGTGAAAGTCTTTCAATAATTCAGTTGGTAGCCAATGACAATATTGAATCATATTTCAGTTACTTTTGATACATGAATGCCCGTGAATTATTGTCATGTATTGAATACTTATTAATAGTAATTTAGCAAGTGTTGCTCTTGCCCAGATTATTGAACATTTATCTTTATATTATTTGGTTTAAGGTGTTTATATTTTTTTAATAGTAACCAATCTTTTTGCTTCTTAGTTGCAGGTATTTTATCTTTTTTATTCTACTTTGAATTATTTCATCGTTTAACTGAATGTATTAAATTCTGATTTGTTTATTTATTTATATACTTTTGTTATGTATTTCATGTAATTATTAAAATAGATATAATATAAATAATTATTAATTTTGTAATTTATGTATATATATATATATATATATTACAAATGTACAACAACTTATAAATATATATATGTGTGTTTTTATACGTTTTATTTATTTAAATTATTGTTAATTAAACTATTACATACCCGTGCGAATGCACGGGTAATCCACTAGTAAATACTAAACAGGTGTCTTCGTACTGCTCGCGTTACATATTTACTTTTTTTATTATTTTAATTTTTAATCACCGGCTAACTTAAAAAAATGGATTAAATTAATTAAATTAATACTAGTTAAACAAATGATGTCTTTATAAATAACACTAATTCTAGTATTTTTTTTAAGAGGCACGAGAATAATTCCCATTGTTATT